TTAAAAAACGTATATCCTCTAATTGCAGCGCTGGAAATGAACTCTCGACTAACTGTCACTAACTCCAGATTGTCAACGCTGTTTACTTCGCTTTCCGCATCATTATCCTTATTTTGAGCCCTATAGGATCTCCCAATGATGCTCTATCCCATCTATTTATCTCAGCTCAGGCCCTAGGACTAGTAGCCAGCGTGGCTACAGCAGTCCTCTCCTACTACGAGCACTGGTATTCTCGGAGACCTTCGATACTACTGAGTACCTACCTTTGCTTGAGCCTTCTTCTGGATATTGCCCATGATCGAACGCTATGGCTGAATGCATCCTCATCCCTCGAGACTGGATACTCGTCCGTGTTCTCAGTAGCTGTTGCTATCAAAGCCTTTTCCACTTGGCTGGAATCTCGCCGTCAATCGGAGCCAGATTGGGACAGTAGCGATGTCAAAGAAATCCAGGACTCAACCAGTGGAGTGTATAGCTTGAGTTCTTTCATGTGGCTTGGAGGGCTGCTCCTCCTCGGGTATAAAAAAGTCCTTGCCTTGAGTGATTTGCCGACGCTGGATGGAGACATGCTTGGGGCATTGTACGAAAGATTTCGCAAGTACAGTGGCACTCACCTTGTCACAAAACATCAGACGCAGGGAAATGGTCGGTATGCACTACTCCATGCATTGAGTAAAGCCCTGGCCATGCACCTACTCCTGCCTGTGCTGCCCAGGGTCGCTCTAATCGGCCTTTCTCTTGCGCAAGCGTTTCTGACACAGGCAATTCTCAGATACTTGGAAGAGGATCAACCTCACAATTACAGCTGGGGTTTGATAGGGGCTACCGTCTTGATTTATGGTGGCATATGCATTTGTACTTCTCTGTACTGGTATTTCCATGAAAGACTGCTTTGCGTAGTTCGCGGTTGTCTAGCAAGCGCCATATTCCACAAGACATTAGATCTGAGCTTGACCAACACCGACAGAACAGCATCAGTAACTCTTATGAGCACTGACCTAGATCGAATACATAAGGGCTTTCTCAACCTGCATGAGCTGTGGGCAAATATTATAGAGGCAGGACTCGCGGCGTGGTTCCTATGGCGACAAGTGGGCATAGCTTTCATAGCACCGATCGGGCTTGTATTACTCTCCTTTCTCGGCGTCTTCGCCTTGGGCCGATACGTTGGTGTCTACCAAAGAGTATGGATGGGCAAAATACAGAATCGCGTAGCCATAACTGCCGACGCGATTTCCAAAATCAAGCACCTCAAGGTCTCTGGGATGACTCTCCCGCTTGAAGCCACCATCCAAAAGGCCCGAGAGTCGGAACTACGAGCCAGCCGTGGGATCCGGAGACTACAGATCGCGTCACTTATCATCGCATTTGCACCAGATTTGACAGCACCAGGAATTATGCTCGCAGCCACCAAGTCGCCAAACTTTACCTCCCAGAAGGTCTATACTGCGATTGCCCTTCTCGCGTTATTGACCGTCCCGCTTGGAAGCATCTTCCGCTCTGTTTCACCGCTAATGTCGGCATTTGCATGTCTTCAGCGCATTCAAGCATTTCTTGAACTTGATACACGAAAGGACCCTCGCTTAATTACACATTCAATTACGGATACGCCCTCGATCTCGAGTGGTGAAAAGATCAATATCGAGCCATTGAACGCGCCTAGAGGTTCAGCCATAAGACTTGTTGATGCAAGTTTTGGATGGCAGAGCAAAGGGCAGCCGTGCCTCAGGAATATCAACTTGACAGTCAACTATTCTGCCTTGACTGTCATTATTGGCCCCGTCGGATCAGGGAAGTCGACATTGTGCAAAGCCTTGCTCGGCGAAACGCTATTCGCGACCGGAAAGGTTGTTCTGGATCACGACGCTAGCTGTAGAATTGGTTATTGCGACCAAGTACCTTTCCTACGAAACTGCAGCATCAAGCAAAACATTATTGGCTTCTCGAGGTGGAACCCAGTGCGCTACCTGGAGGTTATTAAGGCGTCGATGCTCCCATACGACTTGAACGAATTGCCGGAGGGTGATGCGACGGTAGTAGGAAGTGGAGGGACGACATTAAGCGGTGGTCAAAAACAGCGCATCGCCATTGCCAGGGCCCTTTATCTTGACACACGACTTCTAATACTGGACAATGTTCTGAGCGGGCTCGACACTCACACGGAACACCATCTTTTCCAACATGTTCTAAGTCCAAACGGGCTTCTAAAGAAAAGGGAGAATGCGCCGGCTGTGGTATTTTCTACTCATTCAGTCAAGTACGCCCGGTGGGCTGATCATATCGTTCTACTGAATGAAACAGGTGAAATTATCGAGCAAGGCAGCTGGGAAGAGTTGTCGGTCTACGACAGTCATTTGCAGAATTTGTGCATTCAGGAAAACGTACAAATCACAGATCCGAACCAGCTCGGAGACATGGGAAGCGACCAGCCACTGGAGCAAATACGACCGAAGCCTAGGCGCACTCCCTCGAGTCGCGGTCCTGACGACCAAGATGTTGTGAACAGCGACACGGATAATTCTGCACGTCAAAATGGTGATATGACAGTCTATCGACACTACTTCCGAGCTGTTCCTCTTTTAGCCATCATGTCCTTCATCACGTCGTCCGTATCCTATGGGTTCTTCTACAGCTTTCCCAACATTTGGCTGAAATGGTGGCTATCAGACTCTGACTCAACCAGACACAATCATCCCAAGGCCTTCTGGAATGGTATCTATGCCATGTTTCAGATCTTTGCCCTTCTCAGCGAATTGCTGACCATGTATCTGGCACTGACTTACTTCGCTTTGATATCTGGGGCAGCGGTGCACTTATCGGCATTGCGGGCTGTAACTCGAGCGCCACTATATTTCTTTGCCAAGGTAGATCTGGGCACTCTCACGAATTACTTCTCACAAGACATGACTCTTGTGGATGGCGCTCTCCCTGCCTCTCTAATCCAATTTGCCAGCGATGTCGCAGCTTCTCTCGGGATGGCTGGCAACCTGGCTGCATCATCTCCATACATGGCCGCATCCTATCCTATATGCTTTTTCTTCCTGTACTTTGTCACCAAATTCTATTTAAGGACATCTCGTCAGCTTCGTCTCCTAGACCTGGAGGCAAAAAGTCCCCTTTAGTAGGTTTTATACTGTGACTTATTGTTTTACCTAATCTAATTCAAGTATCGCAGCAAACAATTCCTTGAATCAGACAATGGAATCGCTACTATACGTGCAGCAGACTGGACTAAAGAATATCTGGTTCAGAATGAGCGGTTACTCAACGTCTCCCAACGCCCTGCCTATCTTTTGGCCATGGTTCAGCGCTGGCTCCTATTTATCCTTAACACTTTTGTTTTATTGCTGGCGTTATTTACCGTTGTACTCGTTACTCAGCTTAAAGGCCATGGAACAGGATTTGCCGGTGCAGGACTGATATCCCTGATGCAAATTGGTCAGTTTCTCACCAATTGTGTCAAAAGCTATGCCAATCTGGAAATTTCAATGGGCGCCGTCAGTCGGCTGAAAGCTCTCTCTGAAAGCCCGCATCGTGAGTGTGCAGAAGGCCAGGAGGTGGTGCCACCTCTGGGATGGCCTCATAGAGGCTCCATCAACGTTAATGAGATCTCGGCATCCTATAAGTGAGTAAACCAATCTTCCCAGAGTTTGACAGGCTGAAAATTGCTCACAACCGAGGAAGCAGCTACAATGAGCAAGTGAATGAAAAGTCCCTATGTCTAAGGGACTTGCGTTTCCATATTAATGCTAGACAGAAAGTGGCCATTTGTGGCCGGACAGGAAGGTCTGTATAGCTATCAAGACTTTACTCAGCATCGACTTAGTTACTAACCTACTGCTTTTTCAACATTTAGTGGGAAATCTTCTATCTTTCTACTTCTTCTCTGTATGCTGAAGCCGCTACAGAATACTAGAGAGGACGCTATAACCATCGATGGCATCTCCATTCAAAATGTTGATCCTTCGATCTTGCGGGAAAGAATATTTGCAGTCCCACAAGATACCATCTTCCTTCCCAAAGGCTCATCATGGCTACAAAACATGGAACCTTTTATAACCAATGCTGCTGAATGTAGATCTGTCTTGGAGGACGTGAATCTATGGGATGTGGTTGTCGCACAAGGAGGAGATTTGACCGCGGCTATGGATTCGGACGCTCTCAGCCAGGGACAGAGACAGCTTTTCAGTCTCGCCCGTGCTGTGTTGAGGAAGAGAGCCAAGGCGCAATTGATGTTAGGTCAAGCACAGCACGGTGGGCTTCTTCTACTCGATGAGCCTAGTTCTGCTGTCGATTTTGAGACAGAAGGGATAATGCATAGGATTATCCAGCGTGAGTTTTGCGAGTACACAGTCGTCATGGTCACCCACAGAGTTGAGTTTATCGCTGGACTGAACAGCGTAGGGCAAGTTGGTTCGGATTCTCAGGAACCCTTTTTTAACCGGGTGCTTGTAGTAGACGCTGGGACTATAGTTGAAGATGGTCATCCAGCTGAGCTCCTGGAAGCGAAAGAGGGAAGGTTCAGAGCACTATGGGAAGCGTCCAGAGTTTGAATAATATACTCTTAGTATGAGCATGCGTTGAGATCGAGCTATATGTGTTATTTGCAGTTGAGACTTGTGGCTGAGAGCTTAAATCAGCAGAGAGAACTCAGTGCGTTGAGATCCTCTCAGCACGACAACTCGGATAACATCGAGGAGATCTGGCATAACTGATAAGGTTCCAAACACAAGTAAGTACTAAATGTAAAGTAAACATTGTTTGACGTCCTTATTATCTTGCAGAACGGCCCATTGCCTCATCATGCTCCATTAACACCTGTTTAATCTCATCGGATTGGCCGATTCCAGGCATTATTCTAGACATTGCGCAGGCGCATTCCAAAGCTGTTCTCCCATGCTCATCCACAAGCCTGATATTAGCGCCGTAAGCAAGGAGAAGTCGTACTGTCGATAGTTGCTCGGATCGAACCGTATATATCAGCGCCGATCCACCTTGTATCAGATCTGCAGGTATTTGTGGGCGGCTTCCCCATGACACTTGCTTGCCTCCACACGAAAGAGTTCGGCAGTAGGATCTTCATCTGTCTGGTCTCTGAGGAGATATTCTCGGGCGGATTGGTGGAAAAATAAAACCCGGTCATCATCCAGTTTTAGAAGTGGTTGGCAAATGGCAATTCTATCTGCCATACACTCGATGCCACTCCCAACAGCGTAGGCTAACTCGCGAAGCGTCAGAGGTCTTATGGCTATTGCAATCCATTCGAGGATCTTCGCACTGATATCACGGTGTTTCGGGTCGATTTGGTGCAGCATTCTTCCGACTATCGGATGCAGACCTGGTGGTATATCTTGAATCGTTTCGAGAACTTGAAGGCAGGTTCTCTTTTTAGATAGCTCATAGACCACGAAACTAACCCACAAAAACGTGCCTTCTGCTCTGGCAAGTAGAGTTTGTTCGATTTGAGAATGGATGCTTTCAAAACCGCGTATTCTTTGCAGAGGCTCCAGGCTCCACCTGGTGAATCTTGCAATATCGCTGTCGATATTTTCGCCATGATCTGGATCAAGTTTGATACCAGTAAGTACATCTATGGCACCCATGTTTTCGAACTCCGTATCCGGGGCCGATTCAGAGGGAAAGCTTTGGCGTCGACAGTGAGTGGCCATGCCGAGTATATCGATATCTCGTCCAATGAGTGCCAGCCTGAGCGGTCCGTTGCGTCCAACCGCTTAGGTACAGTAATCCCGAAACTTGCAGATCAACTGACATTCATCAACCCCATCGACAATACAGTACACCGTAGATAGATCGGCTTGTGATAGAAGAATTTCTAGGATCTTCCACAGACACTCCAGGCTAGACAGCGCATTCTTTGCTTTCTCCTCGGTGTCCAAGTAACCGAAGACCTCCAAAACGGCGGATACATCAGTGCTAAAACTAAGCAGCTGATACGAAAGACTTCGTAGAAGGTTGCCGGGCTTGTTATAGCAGTCGTGCTGAAATCGGCAGAAATAAAATAAAAAGTGATCGCCTGTGCCTTGACAGACTTTTTCGACTTGTTCCGAGAGAAAGAGTGACATGACCGTTTTGCCTGTACCAGGACCACCCGATATCCAGAAGAGGGGAGTCTTCTTTTCAAGCCATGCTTGATATTGAGGGTCCTCTTGGATTCACTCGCACGTTCCGGGTGCTCTCTGGCCCTTCGCCTCGGCGATGCCGGCTCTGTCGACATCAGGATGGCTCACGAACAGAGCATCACGGCACTTCTTAATGATATCCTCAGAACTGGCTATGTCTGGAAAGCGAGAGTAGAAAGAAGAATTAAAACCCTTAACTAACGAGGAGCCTTTTCGCAATGTGGAAGGCTGACGTGACTGACATTGCCTGCGAAGAGATACGATCCGTTATTAGCCGAGATATGATGAAGATTTTGCTGGCTCCTTTGCTGAGTAACGATGTCTGAATTCTGATGTTCGGTGGACATCGTGACTCAAATCCCATACCACTTGAAAACTTGGTAGCCTTAATCTGGTTGCATCCTCTTAAAGAAAAACTCTTCGCATGGCGGCTCACCCGGACCTCGAATTTGCGCAAGTTTGTGGCTTGACGTCGCACAGACTCGCTACGAGAACCAGTCATTAAAACCTTTTTATATGTTGTGGGCTATGACCATTTCTTTTCATGTCTGGTGACCGTGGCTGTGTTGGATGGTCCCCCCAAAGCTGATGTTGGTGTTACTCTGGTGCCTTCTCATGCAGCACAAACCCCTCAGAACTGGAACCAACTCGCGTATACTTGCACGGGATTCGTTGTGAAACTCAGTTCTTAAATGAAACTGTAGTACATAAGGGAGACGGAAACCTACTAAATACGTTGTAACATCCGTCCTAAGGTTCTCCCCTCACCATGCCTGACCCTGTCAGTATTACTGCGTCTATCTTGGGCATCGGCCAAGGTCTCGATAGTTGCCGTTTGAACTCGGTTGATGGACGCACTCAGCAGTGAAAGGGTTAGATGGGTAATATTGACTTCTGAATGCCATTTTCTTATTTGTCACAGACGGTGACCTTTTGTTGTTTTCGGATGTTGGCTTGAAGAAGATGGAGGAGGGGGCAATCGTTGGGTGACGGGGAGATTCATATACATTTATTGGGTCTTGTTGCTAAACTTAACCCCTTTGACGCGAATCGATGTAAACACTCCTTCTGTTGTATGTTTATGAAAGCTTTACTCTCAAATCTCGTAATGCGCGCGATGCGCCAGCTCAAGCTATCACGCCACGAGTTAGGCGCCTCCTTGGCACATGTTAGCATAATGGATTTGCTTTTGGGTTCGGAAGACTCCAAAGAACCCATCTATTGGACGAGAAGCAACATTTTGAATGGGTCATTGAGTCATTACATTACAGGATTTCAAAATCCAAGGTCAACGCTATCTCATAACATTGATGTTGAGACCGAGGCCGCCGACGAGTAATTGAGTCGCGTCAATTTAAAGTTGTGATGAAATTCGAACGTTTGAAATGACCTTCTGTGCACATCTTGAGCTCCATTCGATGCGCTTAACCGCCTCTACAGCTCCCTTGTCCCTTGGAGTAGATTGACGGGCTGTTGAGGCTTTTTACGATGATGTTTGGATGGTGAGATCACATGGTCGGCCCGCATTTCCCAAAGGAGCGACGGAGTCAGCATGAGAAACAAACCCAGTCATCAAAGAGAAACGGGCCATATCCATAATAGAATCAGACCAGTTGATCTTGCACTCCGTTCCTCCTTGGGGATATTTAAGAATGATTATCGTAGATGATTGAGTATAAAAGCCCTGAGCAACGTCCTGTGATATGTGAAGAACAACACAATCTTGATTACTTTCAGTAGCCGCCGAGCAACTCTGTCGTATCTATTCCACGTATCAACAAATATTTCATACTTTTCACTTCAAAATGATAACTTCTAAGCCCAAGATTCTTGTAGTCCTCACCTCGGCCGACAAGGTCCCCAAGACCGGGAAGCAGATCGGATGGTACTTGGTAAGTGGCAGTTCCTTCTCAATCATTGCCTGAATATCCACAGGTTGTCTTATGAAGACTTAAAATGATTGGTACTAACATAGTCAGCCCGAGCTTGCTCACCCCTTTCACATCCTCAACCCTCGTGCCGAACTAGTTTACGCGACTCCAAAAGGCGGCGAGTCTCCACTTGATCCTGTGTCGGTGGAGCTCTTCAAAGATGATCCTATTTGCAAGGACTTCCTCGAGAACCACGAGTCAGTTTGGAAGAACACTCTCAAACTCAGCGACGTTGCCGGTCGAGCCTCGGAGTTCGACGCAATTTTCTACCCCGGTGGGCATGGTCCGATGGTAGACCTCGTCCACGATGAGCACTCGAAGAACCTCCTCCGCGATTTTCACTCCCAAGACAAGGTCATCTCAGCTGTGTGTCACGGACCAGCTGCGTTCGTCAATGCGACGACCGCATCGGGGGACCTGATCTTGAAGGGCAAGCAAGTCACTGGCTTTGATGACGTGGGCGAAGAAATGTTCAAATTTACAGATGATATGGACTTTAGTCTCGAGAAGAGATTGGGCGAAGTCAGTGGTGGGAAGTATGTCAAAGCTGATGAGGGTCCCCTTGCGGAGAAGGTTGTTGTTGATGGGAAGATGATTACGGGCCAAAATCCAGCGTCATCCAAGGGCGTGGCTGAGGAGATCGCCAAGGCGCTTGGAGTGTATTGAAATGCCAGGAATCAAAGAAGTTTGATTTGAAGTGATACTTATATAGATACTCTCTCATAGAATGCAAAATCCGTCGGCTTTGTATTGATGTTTACTCACCGCAGGGATCGAAGAATCTCGGTGATGGGTAAGCCCAGACTCGAATTCAAGCTTATCTCCTCCCGAACCAATCATAGTCACTGCCGCAAGCTATATGGATCCACAAGCCGTACCAGGATCGGCTTTAGACAGCTTCGTTTAACTCCGATTGAACGGCTTGGGCGGATATTAGTGCTGACAGACATCACGAACCCCCTCCATTTCACTTCGAATAGCTTCACAGGATTTGCAATCGTGTCGGAGTCATGTTCGGGACCTTCTCTGCTTCCAGCTCACCCGCCCCATCGAGAAAACCCAAGCGCAGCCAGGTATCAAAGGCCTGTGATTCATGCCGACTGCATCGCGTTAAATGCGATACCCAATACCCATGTCAGAATTGCTCTAGCAAAGGTTTGCGATGCAATAGCACGACCCGGCAGAATCCAGGATGGAGTCTATCTCGTGCTATGAGGTATAAAACGAATGCCTTGGGCCCTAGGCCGAGCTTAACCTCACGGCTGACGCAACTCATAGCGAGATCGAGAGGTTGAAAGCACGAGTGAAAGAGCTTGAGGGACAGATCAGAGATACAACCATCCCAACACCACCAGACGAAAACACTCCAGAGCTCATATCGAACGATCCGCCTCCAAGCTTTCCATACGCCAACGAGGGAGTTCAACTCGACACCACGACAGCCATCCAATCAGCGGCCACCGGCACTCAGTACTACGGGCCTTCATCTACGTACTATTTCATCCATTGTATCAGCCAGCGTCTCAAAGCAACTGGTTGCAGCCTAAGTGGCGATCAGGAGCCTCACAGCTTGATACCCGACTCGGCAAGTAGATCCATGGGCAACGTTATCAATACTCCCGATGCCGAGTTGGAAGAACATCAACCGTCAGATAGCGCCGTGCCAGCCAGAGCGACACACGGATTGACTGAGAGAACTCTGTCCGGGAAAGACTTGTCGGCAACTCAAGAAGCCTTCTTCCTCGACCTCTTTTGGGACTCATGGCATTGCTGTTACCAGCTTCTGGACGAGGCAGATTTCAAGGCACACTACACATCACTGTGGAATGAGCCTATAGGTGACACGAGACAGGACTCACCTCTTGTCGACATTGTATTGGCTCTCTGTATGCAGTTCGGTGTCACATCGCTACCTCGTCATAGTGGCTACAAGGCAGAGATCAACTCTCGGGATGCAGCTGTTGCCGGCCGCTGGTTGTATCAGCGGTGCCAACGACTGATATCGTGTGACCTGGAGAGGCCTACACTACAGACCTTCCAGTGTCAACTATGGTCTGCGATATATCTTGCCAATGCTTCTTACCAGAACATGGCTCAAAATATGCTGGGGGTTGCAGCGCGCATGGCATATACATTGGGACTCCACATTGAGCCAGCGAACGATCTACCCGCCAAGGAAATAAAAGCACGAAAGCAGGCCTGGTGTATCATGTTCATGTTTGAGACAAGATCATGTATCCGATTAGGTCGGCCTTGGGTCACCCAAACACAGCCGATTTCACCATTATTACCTACCAGCGACCAAGGCCACGTTACAGCGGCCGTTGATCAACTGAAATACACTACCGAGAGAGCCAAACTCACAGAGATCGCCCGATCAGTCTTCGATAGTGTGTTTCATTACATATCGCACGGGGAAACTACCAGAAGAGATACTCAAATACGAGCATTTGATTCAGGTATGAATACAATACGCGCTTGGGCGGAGTCGCTGCCTAATATGATGAAGACGGAGAGACGGAGTGGTGGGAAGCCTCTCTCAACTGATCTGTCAGAGCTCGAGATGGAGCCATTTGCCCCCGTCTCGCTGCGGAGGCAGCGCTTGATGCTTGAGCTGTTCTACCACGAACTGATGCTCACGCTCGGACGGCATTGCATAAGCCAATCCTTGCCTCGATCTGGGAGCAACAGGACCTCGTCAGCTCATGAAGTGGCCGGTATCTCAGCTTTACACGCAGCCGCCACAACGAAACTTTTATACCAGATTTGCCAAGGATACGACATTTTGAACGGATGGTACGAGCCATTCAACTGCCAATGGAACGCTGCTATAACACTCGTCGGATATCTCCTAACATGTCCCCAAGACAGTCCAACTGCTACAATCGCCCGCACGGCTCTGTTGCAAAGTATTACGGTGCTAGAGAAGATGGGCGAGTTCTTTGGAGCAGCTTCGAGTGCGGCTGGTGTGATACGGACACTCCACCAGAGGCTGAACATGCCGGTCCAATCTCAAATGGTGACGGACAGTAATATCATCACAGCTGACACGGTTCAAGACGTTGACTTTGATGACTTTGGGGCTTTGGACCTGTCATTTGAAGGTATACTGGGGACCTTTGGGACGGAATCTGAGCTCGAAGGACTTGGGTTTGGAGTTGACATGCAGGCTTTTCTGACGAGCGATGATGAGTACATGCGCAGAATCCAGAAGGAATCTCACTAAACTAGGCCTCAAACTTGGAAATATTCTCCAGCACTTTGAGCTTCCAACCCAGTACCAGATCCTGCCTCTGTCCCCTTGGGGACACCTCCACAATAGCCCGCAAGAAGTCAACTGCGCCCTGCATGTGCTCCTGAAGTGTTGAAGTGTATTGAGCATCTTGAAAAAACGATCAGGCTTTCTCCTTGCAACGCTTCTCGAAGACTTCCATCCACTTGTACTTTTCCGCTAGGGATTCGGGTGTGTCAATTCCATTCCAGAGGAACGAGCGTCGAGGGTTCCATTGAGGACTTGGGACGACGCCGGCGAACTCCCAGTCAAGGACGCCAGTGATATTGCCAGTCGAGGGGTCGTACATCATGTTGGCGAAGTGGAGGTCTTTATGGGCCAGGTGTAGCTTGACGTTGTTGAGCTCGTTGGCGCGTTCTGGGAGTGCGGTTACGAAATCCTCGAGGCGTGGAATGATATCTCGCATGAATTCCAGCTTCTCGTGGGCTTGGATGAGTCGTATGTACTTTGTGGCGTGTGCTATCATGTATTCGACGTATGTCTTGTACGGCCCTCCGATGTTCATGGTCGCCACAGTCTCTCCTTCAGGCCAAAGCGCTTCGATATCTGGGATCTGCCAGAATGTCTCGTCCACTACTGGGCCGAGCTGAACTTGGCCTTGATCATCGAGGATCAATCCCCCGATACCTTGCCACGGATGCGCCTGGAGTTGGGTGAGGAAGTCGATCAGCTGGTCGAAAATCTGGTTCATTTGCTTGTCGCTCAGGCTGTCGTAGATATCACTGAGTGTGGCGCCCTGAACACGAGAGAGCAAAGAATACTCGTGAGCGATGGGGTTTTTATTGGAAGCATCATGGGCTATGACCTCTGGTAAAGGTATCGTGGTGTTCTTGGAGAGCCAAGTCATGACGCCTATCTCATTCGAAGTTTTGATCTCGGGGAGATGGTTGCCCGCGACGCGAAGAACGAGCTCGCAGTAGCCGCGCGAAATCTCGGTAGGTGGCAGAGTGAGAAAGTAGACTGAATGATATTGAGCAGTCGTTCGAGGGTTGCTGATCGAGGTGACCTGAGGCAGACGCAAGGCCTGCAAGAGAGCGTTGATAGCATCGTCAGGCAGAGGGGGAGGGAGATGGGTGGCGGGCGAACTCATGGTGGCTGGTGTTGATGCGATGTTGAAGAGGAGAGAAGGAATAGTTGCGCAGGAAATCGATAATATTATTGTATAAACTGAGTATTTGGCAGAGAAGGAACCACAAAGGAAGAAACAGTGCTTTATGCCGATAAGATAAGAAGCAGATGTGAAGGTTGTTTGTTCTCCGCAATTCAGGCTTTTATTTTATTATGAATTTTGACTTGAAAGTTCTGAAGTTGGCAGCTTTCAAATAGGGAGTGGCATCACGAGGTGCGCAAGGCTTTAGATTTGGGTATCCCGATGAAAGTTTATGTAATCCTAAGCTAACCAGAGTATTTAGACATTATTGATGAGATTTGACCTCCTCCCTCACTACTACCTTGAATAACCATCTATCGGCTTATTCTAAGTTAGAGAAGCTTAAAGCAGGTTGCTTAGATTGATGCAGGGTTGTCTGTCGTTGATGAAGCCTGTGATACCCTGTGACACATTAGTAAAGCAGCCGAAACTCGAGGGCTGCTTTCTTACAGTAGATGGGGAGTCCCTGCAGCAAACTACATTGCCACTGCACTTGCTGCCAAGAGTCCCATCGAGAATTCCTATAACATTTAGGCTGACGTCGACGCAGCCGTTGGGATTGTTCAAATTCGTGGAGGGAAGGCCTAATAATCCGCGTTGGTTGATGTTGTTCCCATTGCCGCCCTTGTTGTTGCAACACCGGACACTTCTGTCCTGCCCGCAGATTTTCTGAGCCTCAGAGACCATGAGCTGTGCAACCTGAGGCTTTCTCGTTCCTTTCAGCCTGAGAGCGGCAGCAGCAGAAGTAAAGACGGTAAGCGTAGTCATGAAATGCATGTTGACGGAAGATAGGGAGATAAATGGTTAAAATGGTTATTCAGGGAGGTTGAGCTGGAGGCAAGGACGTAGACTTGAAGATTGATGATGGATAATTGGTGATTAAAATTGCTGTGAGGAAATGAGCAATGTATAACAGCTTTATACTTAAGAGTATTGCCGCATTCGAAAAGTTTTTTCATCAGTATATGGATGGCGAGCAGTGGCTTGACCCCAGCCATCTGCTGAATGCCGTGACCAGGAGAGCACAAGGCTGAACTCGGCAACAAAGAACACTGTCTTCCCTCCACTGTTTAAGCTTATCCCAAATCTGCATATGAATAATTGCAAGTGGCTAGTAAGCAATACATAATCTTCAGCAATATTTATGTATTTTCCCAATTCATCCCAAATCTGCGATCTAGACCTAGGGCTTTGAGACACGGCAGAGGGTGGCTACTGTCCTGGACGATTGATCCAACGGCCCGATTACAGAGACACTTGGAGTCTAGAACCATGCCAGTCAGAGCCGGCGTATAGCAGTTCCATCACTAACCTTCATTTGCCATACTGCTGAGACTTGAAAGTTGCCACAATAACCAATGGTCGTGCCGAGATTATTCGACAAATATGCGGTTAGCGCGTGAGCTTCTGGTGGACTTCGCGCAGCCGAGGCCACTGGTTGAAGTTACAGATCGGCTTAAGTGCTAAAAAAAAAAAAAAAAATAAAAAAAAGAGATTGACAACCTAATTATGTTTGACTAATATTCGAGCCAATCCCGCTATCGCCTCGCCAGGCGCCCCAAAATACTGCTACATCAGCCGTTTCCTTTCCCCGCAAACAAGGCGTGTGTTGCACGCCAGACTACTCTCGGAAATTAGACCACCTAAAGCCAACCCGTCTTCTATCTTCTCTCGGCCGGATTAAGCTCTCAGCCACAGGTCTCAGAAGCAAATAACACTTCTAGCTCACAACTTAGACATTATACCAGGATGTCTGACCAATTGCTACTAAAGCCAACCAATTTACCATTGCGGCGAGCCTTTCGCTCGAAGAGTTGCACCGTACCTCCACAACAGGAATGGTGCTGGCCAGCCCAGGACGATGAACACCAAGGCAAGCAGGCTATTTCCCCAGCCATAATCAAGTTTGTGATACATTGCCGGGGCAAAAATAGGAAAGGCAAAGCCTGCAATACTGCGAAGAAACTGCGAGGCAGCACTTGCGGAGGCGACATACTTACGGAAAGCATCCATAACATATGCTTGCAAAGCCTGTGTATTGAGGATGATACCGCAACCAAATATTGCGATACCGATGTCTGGGACTATCCACGCAGTGTGCCTGTCTGCCGACCAGCCATAGACAAACAGGCCGAGAGGGATAAGGATAGCTCCAGGTAGCATTAGAGGAACGCGATACTCAGGTGCCGTGTCGTCGCCAGCTCTCTTCTTTAAATATCCCCAAAGCTTGTCCATGAGAATGGCGCCGCCCTGTGCTGCCACTGTGTAACCTATAACCAAGGCGAAGTATTGCAAGCCACTCTCCCATTCTGACTGGCCGTACCGCTCAATCCAGAGAGTCGCAAACGTGGAGAGAACGATATAGAGGATTCCAAAATTGTAAGCCAGGAATATCGCAATGACTTGCAATATGGGCTGCGTGAAGAGTAGACGGAACGGCCGACTGAGTGCCCTGAGCAGAACTGGACGAAGACTTCGTTCTGAGGCAGTCATATGCTCTGTGAAGTAAGCCCTGCCGGTCTCCTTACGCAAACCGGCAGCTCTCCTCTCCAACAGAACAACCTCATAGGTCTCATCGAACACGATTAGAGCGATGACGACCAAGATCCCATCGAAGATGGAAAGCACCCAGAAGGTCCAGCGCCAACCCACGGTCTGTGTGACCCCACCCCCGATGATAGGCCCAAGTGCCGGACCCAGGAGTGGTATAAAGGTAGAAATAGCGAATGAAGTGCCTCTTTCTTCCGCCCGCCACATGTCTGATAGAACCGGGTTTGTCACAGCAAACTCAGCGCTTGCCCCCAGACCTGAGAGGAGGCGGCTTGCAATCAACAGACCGCTTGATTTGCTGAAACCCGCAACGGTGTTCCACAGGATATAGAAGCAGCTAGAGGCTACCCATGTTGGCCGCCGGCCAAAGACTTCAGCTAGCGGAGAGAGAACCATGGGTCCAAAGGCGAAGGCGAGAACGAATATTGATAGGAAGATCTGTGTTTCTTCCGCGTCGGTACCCAGATTGTGGGATATTGTCTCGAGAGCTGGGGCGAGCATGGCTCCCGACATGAGAGTGACCAAGCCGCCACCGGAGAGCAATAGAGTGATGGCCCATTTGCGTGGCCGAGACCAGTTGTATGGATGCCCTGGATCGCTGTCTCCGTCCCAAGTTACCTAAACAGCCGCGCGAGGTTGATTAGCTTATGTGAAGCATCACAGACAGTATGGGAAATATACCAGGAGCGAATCCGCCTCCGACTTATTTGGCTGGATACTCCCTGACTCGAGTTCATTTTTATCTTGAATGACTGATTTCGCTGGAGCTTTCTTGATCTGCTGGATAGTCATCACAGCGACTGAGTATGTTAAGAACAGGATAGGTGGATGTGATCCGATTTTGGTAAGTAGATAGTAAAAGAACGAGATGTATCTGGGACTCAGACAAGATCCGAAATTGTGCTTTTTTTTCTCGGCTTCTTTCTCTTCTTCCACCGTTATATCCCGGGAAGGGCTCCTCGATATAAATACTTACATCGTCGATGGGACTTTTGTTTGGCGCTTTGCAAGAAGCTCGGTCCGAGCCTGCTTTACAGTGGAAGGATGAATGGTTGCAGGGTTACTATAACGGGTTAGTGATTACAAACCTCTCGGCTTGGGGGCTCGGCTTGAAAACTAGCGGCTTCGGCTTGGTAATTGGAGGGCTCGGCTTTTAAAATAAGCACTCGGACGCTGGACGGTGGTCCAGGGTAGGTATAAGCACTAAGATGGCAATGATAAGACTTTTGACAAGGGATCTTCGGTTTGACGGCACAGCTTGGTGCGTCACACTGCGGAGCAGTGTTCGTAAACCGAGTCCGCACCAAACGATGATGTGATAAGTGACGATCGAAAACGTACAATTATACGAAAACCCTAATTCCCTTGGCGGCCGCCAGATTCTCTCTCGTCATGTACGGCTGCATTCTCAATTTGGTCGCGGGCTTGGCTTCCGCTTATATGAACAGTGGTGACTCCGGGTCAATTTAAGAATGTTTTTGGGCCAACCGCAACCTCAAAGTTCCCTTGCGGCATAGTGATCGGCTAACCCACGAAATTCCTCCATGGACAGTGAGAAATCGGCCACACACGACAGCATTCGCATAATCACTCCAGCGTAAGAGGAACGAAGGCGCGAAGTAAGGATAAGAAGGGATTTACCATTCCACCTAGTCAACGAATGTACTCTGTTGTGCTGAGCGGCAAGGCTGAGGTTAATAATGTCTCAGCCTCATCGTAATGCCCTTGACTGTGACAGGTCGCTGCTAAGTTACAAAAGCTAACTATTGTGTCTGGGTGCCTTTCGCTGAGCGTCCGCCGCTGGAAACTTATCATTGACAAATAGATATTTTCAGACTCAATGTAAGGGCCGCGCATGCCGTATGTGGCCATAAGAGAACTCATACTCCACACGATATGAGGGTGTTCCGACCCTAGGACGGCGCCTCGCAGCTTCAGTAGACGATCTAAATTATTCTTAGCTTCTCCGTATCGTGTTTTTCCATAGAATGATGAGGCAAGGTTTTCCATGCTCCACAATGTATTCCCCCCCAGCACGTCAATTCTCAGCTCAAACGCCTCTTTCGCTACCACCTCTATGTCTTGCCAGGCTTGTTTCTTGCAGAAGTGTCCTGAAAGAAGAGTTAAAAGCCCTGCTTCTATTTATATTCCCTCCTGTTTATAGGCCAGCTTGCAAAGCCGTAATGTATGACTAAAATACATCTTATACCGAGCCCCTACTTGCATGAAATTGTTCAAAAGGCATTCCACGGTCCTGAGCGCCATGGAGAAAATGAAGCATATGTATTAGTACCGGTTAGACCATAGCTCACATTCTGAATGCTACCAGCGCCAGCTCGATCAGTCTGTATGCTCGACTTTGATCCCAACGCAGCGCCCGTCTTCAATAT